ATAACGGGACCGAAAAAGTAACAAAAACATATAGAATTCTGATCTAAAAGGCCTTTGGAAATTTGAAACAAAATTAAACATTGTAATAGGAAAGCTTACTCAATGTTTTCCGAAACAAGAGACACAGAGACGAGAGCTCAGCCCAGAAAGATTCCCAAGTGCTCACGGTCTTAGATGAATACACAAACTTAAAAGAACCGAGTCAGAAGTTCATGCGATGTAATACTCTAGAGAGGAGTTTCTTTTAGATTCAGTCTTATTCACGTGCATTCACGTGCATTTTATTTTGAGACCTTCCCTGTGTAACAAAACGGTCTGTTAGGAGGGGCACTGGGTTCACCCTGGGAACAAGGGTTACAAAAAATCACCCTATTTTGCCTCCATTGCTCAAAATGATAATATATGGGCGCGTCGGCGAGCCAAGGCACCGTCCCGTTTATCAAGCTTCAGTCAATGTGCTTACAAATGTCCTTTACCGTTAAGTAAAATTAAATGCACCAAAGCCGGGCACGAAAACCCTCAAAACCCAGCAGGTGGAAAAAAAAGGAGGGAACGTGCACCCCCGACCAAGGCAGTGGTGCCACCCGCGGGATTTTAGGGTATACTATGCAAAATCTAGCATGCGCAAATAGACAAAAGTTACAGAACAACATCTGGAAAATTAAGACAAAGACGAAACGTCCTAAGGGCCACACATTACAAACTGCAATCCCAAAACCCTATCCGCGCTTAGTACTCGTCCCAAGTCCCCTGATTCCTGCCGGGAAAATAGTTATAATTTAAGCCAGGATTATCACAAATTACATTTTCTATTATTATGTCACTCAATTTATATCTCTCTTTCCGATATTTTCGTTGCATTGAATAAGTTAATCCATATTAAAAAAAAGAAATGCACTGACCAGAAATCAACCCAGGCCTCCCGCGTGGCAAGCGAGATTTTACCACTAAACCACCAGTGCCTTGTTGACCAACCCCTTTCCATAATGATGGCATTCCTGCTCAATTTATCATTATAATAGAAAAACTGTAGAAATGGGTGAGCAAATAATCCCGGAGTATAAGCTCCATAAAAACTTTACCTTACGACTTTTCTCTTCAAGTCGTATTTTACAGATCGAGTGAAGACCCCGACCCTTCCCCAGTCCTCTCTCGCTACTTGCCGTCTCCTACTAAAGAGGAAAGTCTTTACATGAGGGGAAATGGAAAGGAGGGCTTTTTTTCCGTTTCGTCGTTACCGTACACCACAAGTGAGTGAACTTATTTATTTATTTATTTATTTTTACTATATTTTGACATAATCTGTGATCTATTACTGAACAGACCCAGGGCAACATGGAATCTATTTGTTTGATAGAAAGGTAACCGGCTCCTGTAAAGGTAAAATGAAAGATCTTTCAGTTCACTGACTCACGTAAGACCAAAAAAATCTTTCTCAGAAGAAATAATGACTATTTACAAACCAGCTGGTCAGCGGGAAAATCAAACAATATTTATATTCCATTTTTATGTTCACTGTAAAGCCTCTAGTAAAAGCGGATATCTCCCGAATTTCCCCTCACTTGCTGACATTATTTCTATTGTCTACAATTCTCAAAAAGAGGGAAGAAAGAAAACATAGAGGAAAAAGGAATGAAGATTCAAAAAGTGTGTTTCTTTAACTAATATATTGTACATGTAAAATATTGCTTTGATCATTCGTTAAGAATGTTGAACTCTTCTAGGCAAAGTAGTTTAAATCCCAGCAGAAACAACCCAGATTGAACGTGGTTAGAATCAAGACCCACGTACTTAGATAGGGGAACTATGAGAAGGTCACGACATGATATTTTTTTCCTCTCCTTTCTGAAGAGTACACTAATTACTATGTTGATAAATACTTAGCAACAGAACCTTCAAAGAATATAACATATAAACAACCATCCCTTAAAATCATGATTAGAAAAAAATAATCTGAAGCTTATTCTTTTAAAGTTCCTTATTTTTTACTCAATATAAGCATAGTAGTTATTCGGGAACTTGTGTTGGCTTTCTCCAGTTCCTTTTTTGCTCGATGATCATGACGTGATTTGACGATAAGCAAAGAAGTCGTGTCGGAACTTGTTTGTTTAGCGCTGAATTAAAATTCTAATCAATAACAAGCACCACCATCCCCGAAGCAGTTACTTTAAAGAGGTTAAAACCTCAAATGTTTGGGGATGATAGAGATCAACAAAAACAAGCCATCAGTCATCATTTATATGACATTGTATTAAATTTTCAAAGTTACTTTTGTTAAAACTACGCTATCATTTCAGTGCGATCTCTCTTTTGGCCGCCTAGGATCTCTACCCCAGGTCTACCATGTAAGGGTATAGACATGAACATGTACTAAGAAGCTATAGAGGTTACTCCAGAAAAAAAAAAGGCCAACTCCAACAAAACGTGCCTGTCTATGCATACGTGAATAAAAGATGTGATGATAATAAAGAAAAAATTGGAAACAATGCCTACACGTATAACGACTTACTTTCAAAGGGAAGTTTGTTCGAGAAGGAAAGCAAACACGTATAACTACCATAAAAGGAAATAAAATAAGAAAGTAATCAGCAACAGTGAAACAGGAACAAAACAAATATTTGCTATTTTATTGATGATCACGTAGCACTGGTCCATTCAGTGTTTTCTGGTTCAACTCCGGCTATCATTATGATGGAACTGTTTTTCTGATTCTCTCTTTTACTGGCGGTTTACTGGGAACAACCACCTCACCTCAGCAACAAAATACCGCAAATTCAAAAGATTTATGCGAGGTATGAAAGAATAATACTGTTTTTCTGATATTTCTGGGTGATTTCTCGGGTAGTGGGTGAAAAAAAAAATGGCATAAAAGACGTTTGCTATGAAGTATATACAGTCGACTCCCGGTAACTCGAAGCAATTTTCATATCCCATCAAATCGTTTTCTATATGATTTTACACTCGATAACTAGCTCCCGACAACTCGAACTTTGTTCTGTTTCTATTGAAGGTTCGAATTATCGTTAGCCGGTCGTATCATATCACAAGTAGCCCAAGCTTACTAGTCAGGTCTCTTAGTGCAAAATATAGGCCGGATCGTTACAGACGTGACAAAAGTGTCAAATTTGGCACAGAGCTTCCTTAGCACCTGCCGATTAATACTGGTGGGGGTGCCCATTACAAATGTCCTAATTACAGATTAAAGGGGGCGGGGGGGGGGG